CTGTGTGTTCAGTTATAATTTTATCATGTTCTTCATATAATTTCTTAAGCCTTCCTCATTATGTTCATTCAAGTGTTCCACAGAATTATATTAATGATATCCAAATACAAAAATATCCAAACATTTATGGATTTAAACCTAATTTCTCTCTCTCTCTCTGTATTTTAATGCATTACTGGATTTTTTCTGTTAATAATGCATTTTTAAATATTTATGTTTATTATAGTGATTTAGGCCCATGATTTTTTTCTCATTAAATTTTGTCTTGCTGGTTTCTGTAAATTTTATTGAAGAACTTAGTAATTATGTACAAATAGTTGCTCTAAAATTTATTAATTTGATGAAAAGAAAATTTCAGTACTGTTCATGGCTCAGAAGCTGAGTTTTCATAATACTAAAATAATCATGCATCTGTATATTGTTAAGGCTACAATATATTGTTAAGGCTACAAACTTATGACTATAAATCAGTTTTTCATCTCTGATACTGATTTACTCAATATACAGGTCAGTTTTTACCTTATTTAGCCTTGCTAGTGTTAGGCTTGAATTAACTGAACTATATCCAGTAATAGTTCCTCTCAATTGTATGGATTGATTTTTCTCAGCAGAGAAAAAAATCAGTTATTTCTTCCCTAAAATTGCAGTGCTATGTAACTCCAAAAAGTCATGTTTTTAATAAATTAGAGAATTATTATCTCCATTTCAGCTTACTCAGAAATATATTGTTAATTATAGCTGCCTTTAAGAAGTATATTTGTAAAACATTTACATGTATTTATACACAAAGTACAAATCATTGTATTCTCTTTCTTTTCTTTTTATTTCGTTAGATCATAACTGCATACATTACTGCATTTATGGGGTACAATGTGCTGATTTTGCATATAATTTGGAAGGCTTACATCAAACTGGTTAACATATCATTCACTGTATTCTCTTTAAAAACTATAATTTCGTAAACTTCATACACAGTAAGTAGCTGAGACCAAAGTGAGCCCCAGCATTGCCAAAGGCATTTTATGTACTGAAAAATCACCTTATATCTCCTGCTTCCTACACTTTTGACTATAATTGCACAAAAGTGCTGGACCAACTAAGACAGATAAATAGAATGTCTTAGAACTATCATTTAATTATTGGATTCACTGTATAGTGAATATAGTGTCATCTATATAGCGTCATTCCATATAGATACCACTAAGGAGTTTAATGATTGAACATGTCACAGTTACTCAATCGCTGAATAAAATGTGGCATATTATATCATGGAATACTACTCAGCCATGAAAAAATGATGAACTAACACCTTTTGCAGCAACATAGATAGAAATGGAGACATTATTCTTCAAAGTGAAGTTTTGCAAGAATAGAAAAAGAAACACCACACCTACTTGCTATTATACTGGACTGAATTGATCAACATCGATGGACACATTTGGTAGTAAAAATAAACAGAAAGCAAGTAGGTGAGAGGGGCAGCAGGAGACGGGGAAATCCAACCTAACAGGTACAATCCACCCTACCCAGGTGAGGGGCACTCTTATGATTTTGACTCAAACTATATAAAAGCGACTCATGTAGTCAGAATATGTGTAGCCCCATAATATTCTAAAACTTTTTTAAAAGACCCTAAAACAATTATTCTTCGTGTGAATCTCTGATACAAACTCATCTCAATTTCACTGGCAATCTATATCAGAAAATCAACTAGGGAACTGGCAAAAAATTTAGTCTCGGGTACATACTGTAAATTATATTTTCAAATTCATCTTAAATAATTCCAGTAGAGGTGCCATTAGAGCAATATCGAAAAACACTACATTAAATGACCCAGACACATTGGTCTACAAACTTCGATGGCTGCATATTAACATGCTCACTGCTATAGAAATCATTTTCTGCTTTCCTAGTATTTAAATTATGACAGTCCAAGGAAGTGGGAAAATCATAATGATGGACATGGTGGTTATAGCAAACATTATATTTATTTTTAATTTTTTTATGAATTATATAGTGTGTCCCTTTTTAAAAATCGGCAATCCAACTATAGATGCTCTCTTTCAAAATCATATGCAATTAAGCATAACATTTCAATTTTCAAAAGCTTTGGAATAACAGAGCATAACATTTTCCATGCAAAAAAAAAATGGCGATGAGAGAAACCAAGCAGGTGTTTTAACTACTCTAATTGTGTGTGTGTGTCCGTGTGTGTGTGTGTGCATGCACATGTAATAATTATCCTTGCTGTACTGAAAACTCCTCAAATTATATCAATGAGTACTATCCAGCAGTAGATTTGTATGTATTCTCACTATGTGTGGAGATAAAACATGAAAATGCACATAAGTCTTAAGGAAGAAGAAATTATGCTGTACCACTTTGCAACTTTTTAAACCTTATTTGGAAGACACACGATCTATGCAGTTAAATAACCGTAGGTCCCAATGGGCAGCACAGTCGCAAAGATCAGAAATTACTTATTCTCACATTTTGTGTTATAGTTAATTCTTCACATTAGTGGCTGCATATAGAGAAGGGAGGAAGAAGGAACTCTGGAAACAATAGACAGTATTTGGAGGACTGTAATTTTTCTTTAATGGCCTCATTTAAAGATGTTTCACAAACTCTGATACATCATTCACAGAAGAGTTGGAAAATACGTAGTATCAAAAAGATCCCGCTTATTCTTTGAGAATGACACTAGCTGTCAGCCTGCTGGGCACCAGAAGAGAGAAGGCTTGTCCTCAGCAATCTGCTCTCCAGTCTGGGATTCAGAGCCAGACTCTTCCCTACCATCCCCCAAAGGGCAGGGAAGAGGGAAATGTCTCCAGACACCCCATCTGCTGGGCAGTCATGTATGGCTAATGATCTATAATTCAGCCTCTTTTAATTTTCCATGAAAATATACACAGCAACCTAAAAAGAAAATGTAAAACGTAACGCATGAAAGACCAAGAGACAGCCAGGCAATCGTCAGATCTAGAGATAAGGTCCACTATGGCAACATCTATGAAACCGAAATTAAATATCAGTCACGTCAAACTCATTATCACGTAAAAGAGAAACAGAAGAGGGGGGAGGGAGAGGGATTCGAGGGTTCACTTCTGTGGTTCATCTTGCAAGGGTACAAGTGAATCTTTCTATGAGTAGAATATGAATGTTTTGACATAATAACTAAGAAAGTTACATGAAGGCTATGTTAACCAGTTTGATGGAAGTGTCTTGGATTGTGTATGAAAACACCACACTGTACCCCCAAAGTGCATCAATGTACACAGTTACCATTCAATAAATAAATAAATAAATAAATAAATAAATAAAAAGAGAAACAGAAAGATCCTACTAGATTTCTTTCTGCTTTTCAATACGTTCTGGGGTCTGTGCCAGAGAAAAAAATGGGCCTCTGTCCTCCTGTTGTGTGGATATTGCTTTTCAGATGGACAAAACATGTACCGCATTGCAACTCAGTTCATTCTATGACTTTTATTTCTGGAAAACAGCACACCAGCAAGCAGATGGAATTGGTAATAGCCTGTTATAACATTGGTAGTGTTGTTTCAACAAGTAAATGCATTTATTGCAAAGTCACTCCATTCCCACTCTGACCTTGCCTCACCCCTCAGGAAAAGATGCTCAAACCGAGACAGAGGGGAAGAACATGAGAAAGAAAACAATGTAAGGCAGAAAACAATGAAGCAAACATTGATAAAATTACTTGAATAATAATAGGAACACCAGTAGGTTAAAGTCTTGCCATTGTAACAAAGTTAAAAGAAAAACAGAAAACTGAGGAAAAATGCATGTGAGACTAATGACAAACATCAGTGTCTTCATCACTTAGAAAGTCATTCCAAGGCAACAATGACAAAAAGATGCCCCAGAGTAAAACTATCTACACCTAAAAAGATTCAAGAAACTCAAAATAAAAGTGCTTTAGAGAACAAAATTCAAAAAAAATTTATCAATTTAAACAAATTAAGTATCCTCAAGTAAAAAAAAAAAAGTGCCATGATTAATCTAACTAATGAAAATAAAATACTGTAATTTATGTAATAAATTAGGCAAAATAAAGAAATATTTTCTAAGTATTATGCTCATGCTGGGAAGGATTCTGTGTATTAGATTCCTTTATACACTGCTATTAAGGGTGTATACTCATATATCCCATGTGGGTAACAACTTAGAAATCAAGAATTCTATAAATCTTCATGTCTTTGACTCAGTAATCTTGCTTCTTGAAATCTATATGATGAAGCAATGTCAAATAAGGAATAGGCAGGCATACACAAATTCATTTACTGAACATTATTTCTAAAGGTAAATTTAGAAACTACGTTCCTACTTAAGGATAAAGAGTTATTCAGTAAATAATTATAATAATTAACATTATGGATTATATGTAGGTTTTTATGGAAATAAAATTCTCATTACCCTGACATGAGTGTTAGAAACCAAGCAACCCCTCCTCCCAGATTCCTGGAGTGCCCCAAGGACAGTTTCTGGGACACACCCCATGACCTGCCCTATAGAAGATCCCATAGCAATATACTGGGCTCACTTTCTTGTTTCAGCTATACTGATAAGGCTAATAAAAGCCTCTTTGTGGGAGATGAGCTAACTCCTGGTCAGACTCCATTCTCCTTTCCTCTCTCTCTCTCTCTCTTTTTAATTTCAGGTTAATGTGAAGGTACAAACAACTAGGTTACAATATTTGCATTTGTTAGGGAGAGTTCCTCTTGTAGTGTGTCCCACAACCAAAAGGTGTTTCCTACACTATCCATTGTGCCCATTACATGGGAGCACAACAATCTCCTTTCTTCCTCCCCCCTCATTCCCCGTCGTCCCCCTCCCCACTCTCCCCAACTTGAATTAAACTGAATTTTTTCTCTTATGTAGGTGAATATCAGATCATCTACTGGCTTCCTATTAGCATTGAGTACACTGAATATTTGTTTTTCCATTCTTGTGATACTTTATGTGTAAAATATGTAATGTGTAAAAATATGGAACGCTTCATGAATTTGCATGTCTTCCTTGTGCTGGGCCATGCTGATCTTCTCAGGATTATTTCAATTTCAGTATGTATGCTGCCGAAGCAAGCACTTCTCTCTATAAAAGGCTCTTCTTGTCCCTGGTCTGGCCTCTTCTCCTTTCTTGTGGTCCCTCACCCCATTTCTATGCCAGAACCTCTTAGTTAAAAAAAAAAAATAGGTTTTACAATACATATTATATACATGCATTTTATACATTATTATATAAAATATACTAAAATAATCATTAACTAAGAAAAAAGTTGAGAAATAAATGAGAACGTAATATACCAAAATGCTAACAGCGGTCATCTCTGGATCTACCACAGAAGTCCTGAATTGTGGTCATTTGATGGAAACTAAACATCTGCTCCCCAGTGGATATTGATGTAGGAATTGCACACTTTGTGGAAAGCTGGCTAAAAACATAAGTTCAGCTAACAATAAAACCCAAAATTGTGTGATACATAAGCCCCTTCATGACCTGGTTCCTCCTCACTTCTAATTTCAACTCACACTCCTTGAAACATATTCTCAAACCACACAAAATATCATTTCTTAAATCCAGATTTCCCCAGGTGTAGATAAGGGTGCATACAAGATCAGGATCTGTGTGGGAGGGAAGTAGAACTCAGCATGTTTTGTACACAGAGTCACCGAGCTGGTGACTCTGACCCGCCAAGGTGGTGGAAGAAAACTTCAGCCTGACTAAATTTAGGACAGGTTTCTTCTTGGCTGTTAAGGCCCTGACCTCTGTTTTGCTTAGAACTTTTACTTTAGACAGCTTGTCATTGTAAGTACTTTTTTCTGCCCATTTGAAACATATGTAAATTTCCCTCCAGCCCAGGGACCATCTCTTTCAAATGGAAACATCAATGAAGATAATGACTTTTTAACCCAGTCTTTGTGGTGGAAAGGTAGGAGCCTAACTTTGATTAGGGCATCTTAGTCCAAATTGTAAAAGTACCTTATGTCATAAAGAAAGAAAGAAATTTGCTTTTCCTTTAGGGGAAGACCAATTAGCAGGTACAGATAGCCGAGACACAGAGAAAAACCTTTGTAAATTCTGGAGTAACTCCGTATGCCCGATGTATCCCATTGATGAATATCCTTGATGACATTCCCAAATACTTTTCCACTATCTCACTCCAGTGCTGAAAAAACCTCTGCCCTTGGAGGGAGGGTGATTGGAGGGATCACCTCTACGCTTTATTTTACAAGGGTACAAGGGAATCTTTCTAAAAGTAGAATATAGATTCTCAGACAATTACTTGTCTGAGCAGTTTCTGCTGTTATTGGAAGCCTGTCCTGTAAGGGATGCATCTTGCATCACTTGTGCTGGGTTGTAAGCACTCTGAAGAAACTGTGGCAGAAACTGTGTGCAAGGCCTGGGAAGGAACATTAACCAGAACGATCCCTGTTTAGTCAACAGTCAAAACAAGTACCCAATGTGTGAATTTGTATTATGGCCAGGACAGAGATCAAGGGAACAGTTCGAGCACTGAGATATGGGCAGGAGTGCTTGTATCCCAACCATGGAGGGAAATGCCCTGGGTAAAGATAAGGGGAAAATTCCTCCTTTCCATCAATTCTTCAGAGGAGAACTGATGCCACTGTGTCTGTTCCACAGAGAAACTAGAGGGTTCTAACTACCCCTCAGACCACAGACAAGAGGCTGTTCCTACCAAAGGCTCAGGTTTCAGATTTCTCAAGGCTGCTCAGACCCTCAAAGTTAATGATTATAGGTAAAATAAGAACTAACATGCTTACTTATAAAAACTCCTGACGTTTTATTCCCTTCCTCATCTTACTCTCTTGGCTAAATGTGAAAATGGCCTTCAATAAAAGCTGAGTGAAACAGGCACTCAAAACCACCCTGCGATATCACCTCACCCCAGTGAGAATGACTCACATCACAAAGACTCAAAGCTGCAGACACTGGCATGGATGTGGAGAGAAGGGAACACTTTGACATTGCTGGTGTGACTGCAAACTGAAAGACTTTTGGAAGTGGAACTGGAGAATCCTCAAAGAACTCAAATTAGACTTCCCATTTGATCCTGCAATACCATTACTAGGCATCTATCCAGAAGAAAGAAAATCCTTTTATCATAAGGATATTTGTACTTGTCTGTTTATTACAGCTCAGTTTATAATTGACAAACTGTGGAAACAACCTAAATGTCCACCAACCCAGGAATGGATTAATGGTCTGTAGTATATGTACACCATGGAATACTATTCAGTCATTAAAAAAGATGAAGATTTTAAAACTTTTGTATTAACCTGGATGGAGGTGGAGCACACTCTTAGTGAAGCATCACATGAATGGAGGGACAAGAATCTGATGTACCCAATTCTAATATGAAGGCAGTAGATGATCTAATATAAGGGGTGGGGTAGAGGAATGAGGGATAAAGGAGAGGGGAGGAGTTAGGGGCATGGGAGATTATGGTGTATAGCACACCTCTTGGAGATGGGATACAATTACAAGAGGGACTTTACGTAACAACTGCACTCAGTATAACCTAATTATTTATACCCTCAATGAATCCCAAACAATACGTAAATAGGGTTATCCTAATTAATGAGGCAGAGGTTATTCAGAGTCTTAATTGTGCCCTTGCTGGTCACCATGCCCCATCCATACACTGCTACTATGGATGCTACATTAGAATAATTCCAACATCAGTGGACAGAATGATTTAAAAGTCTGTTATAGCTTCAAAAACCTATAACCAGTTGTATTTATTGGTAAGGACTGTTAACGTCATGGATTTGCCAGAACATTTTTGTAAAGACAAATAACTACAATAGACACATACATTCATTTCCCAAATGCATATTTGCTTTCATCTAAGAATAAATATGAAATAAAAAAATATGGAAAAGATATTTATTCCCACTGAATTATAATTTAGATAAAAAGATGGAATGAAGTCCACCCTGGGATAAGCATGAAAAGAAAAATCATTTTTTCCCAAATTCCACGTTATTAGTACTAATGGAATGGCAATAAATTCATCCTATTCAGCCTCAACATAAAATTTGGCCTTACGAGAAGGCCTTTAATCTCTGTCCTGCCTCTGTATACTCTCCTCATTAAGGCAGATTTCGGCACTTCAGATGGCTTTCAGATCACTGATTCTCCTGCCAGCTGTTGCAGAGTAACTCAAGTTTTTGGCTATGAAAGGCACTATTGTCTGCTCAAATACTTGTACCCTGGCACATCTTTTTAACAGGTGCTACCGAGGAAGAGAAACGAAACACCAAGAGGCATTTCAGGTCCCAGAGAAAAGATCACTGAAATAAACTCACCCCTTACATTGAAATAGACTTGATTCTTGGCATCTATGACTTTGGGGGTTTAGTTTGGTCAACAATTGAATTGCTGGTTCTGGGAGGCCGCCAGGTTTCAGTTTCCATACAAATATGTCACTGCTTGAATGAAGAATGAAGGCTATCCCCAAATTATTTGAGCATAACAGCATTGGTTTCACCACTGCTAATATGAATGGTAACTAAACAAAAACTATTAAAAATCAAATAAAACGTGTGGGCTATTTGTTCCAAATAAAATAGTTAACAGAATTTACGATGGAATGCTGGAAATAATTTGGGTGAATTAAATTTGTGTGTGTGTGAAATGAGAAAAAAAAATTAAAAGCCACTAGAATGTATTGGGGCAGAAAATTACAGCTTAGATTTTTTTCACTGCTTCTTATGCAAATATTGGCTTCCTAGATCTGTTTGAAGTTTTGAGTTTTCATAGCTTGAGGTCACTTTCCACTTAACAATTGTCTCCAGAAAGAGCTAAAGAAAGTCTTACAAAGGACACCTGGCTTTTTCGGAGATCTGAGTTATTTCAAAATGGATTTCTAAATGAAATAACTGTATTCATATATGAATACATTTGGTCATAAAAGGATAAATTTCACAGTGGGAAGCATTTTCATCTCTCAGCAGTATTTTAAACATACACTTTGAAGCATAAGTGAATCAAAAACAACATATATACCACTTATAGTTTTTCCTTAAAATTTCATTAAGTTCTGATAAAGGTAAACCTTTTATTGAGATGAAAAGTCCTCAAATTATCCCTTTCCTTCAAAATTATCAGTATATATTTTTTTATTTTCTGCACTATAAGATAGAATTTCTGCTAAGGACAACACAATTTTTTATGATCACTCTTTACCGACCCATACCCATTATGCCCATCTCTGGACACTAAAAACATTTTTTTATATTATACTGAAAACATTTCCTCTTCAACAAATTTGTTAATGCTGCTTCCTGAACTAAAATCCTCTAAATAACTGTCTTTCACCTTAATGGTTACAGCTCTTTCTTTAAATATCATCTAGATGCCTCTTTTCTTTCTTGGATGTCTTGGTGAACATCCCTTCTCCCCATTCTGTCCTCATCTCACTGCAGTCTGGGTCTGTACCCTCTGCCCAACATCCCTACCCACCTGTGTTCACCTTCCTGCCGTGTGAGGCATGGCCTATGTCACTCTCACATCGTGATAATGGTAATTCACTCTTCACTGTCTGTCTTCTCATCAGAACCCCTGAATCCCTTGGATACTGAACCTATGCCTTGTTCCTCTTTGAATTCCTGGCACCTCCCTTTGTGACTGCACAAGATTAACTCAATTAATTATCTGCCACGTACATGTGTAAACAAACACTTATACACCACTCCCCCATATCCATGTTTTATGTACAGGGAAAATAAATTCTATTGCCTATGTTTTGCACACATAAACTGATCTGCACTAATATTCTTGAAAAGGTATCATTTGGATGCTGCTTCTGACTCTAGAAGGTTACCAACAAAAGCGTGCATTGATGGCTTCTGTATTTGGGTCTTAGGTTTAAAAAGAAGTGAATTGCTTTGCATACAGTGCATATTTTTGTGCCTACACTCATGATTATGGATAAAAGTATCTCATCATTTCTGTTTATGGGGTAAAGAAATGTTATTTAAGTATGGAAATGTCTGCTTTTTAATTGTAAGTTGCTGGCACTGTGAAGAAGTAGAGCCCTTCATTAATCTAAAATCTTAGGC